AACGACCGGAAATGACGGTCTCTAGATGCGCTCAGCGCACCCATCCATCTTGCTGTCTTTGGGGGTCACTCTTAAAATCCAGTGCGCCCGGAATCAGGGGTACCCTGAGTTCTCATAATTCCTGCTGCCTGGTCATCCCAAAGCACTGTCAAAACGCAGACTTAACCCTGAGTCTAAACCCCTAAACTGCCGTTTCAGGCGGCGCACTACTTGTGGCCGCCTGACACCGTTGACACGTCATCAGATCCGATGGTGCTCTAATGACCCGCAGGGAGAGGATAAGGGAGTTGGTACATGGGGGGATGGCGAGGGGGAGGGTCACTTGGGAGTGGAGGTAAGAAGTTCTCCATTCCCGCTACCGTCTCCGGCAGCCCTTGGTATCTGACAATGCGATGTATGCGGGGGAATCGGCGACTGCTATGGGGGAGAGAAGCGAGGTAGTCGGGATAAAGGGTCGGGACGGTGTGGAGCAAGGCCGTGCGGAACCGATCATAGTCCGCGCACGCGGGGATAGTTCCCGTGATTGTGCAGTAGACTTTGACCATGTTGTGTCCCGGCCATGCGGCACTGAAGAGAAGAACGTGGAGGGAGAAAGAGGAGGAGGTGCATCTCGTGGTGGGGTGGGGATACACCGTGACAGCGAGTCGAGTGGCGTAGAAGTGATGGAAGGGGGAAGTCGGGAAGGGGTTACGAGGGAAGGAGAGTGGGGTATGGATCTGCCGGAGGGTCAGAAAGTCAAGGGGACGACGGGATAACGACCGGGGACGTAGCCCGATGCCCCGCATCGCCACGTGTTCGAACTGAGGGACGGGGGGAAGGGGAGGGGGAGCGGCTTCGTTACCTCCGCGCCGGTGCGCTCGATGTCTCTGCAGGGGGAAGCTCATCTTCGATCGCGGGCAGTTTGGGATCTCTGGTCGGGTCGTCCGGGATTGGCAAATTTGTGCCACTTGAATGCTCCAACGGCCGCTTCCCTGCTGCTATTTTTTTCCCTCCTTCACGCGGCTGCCGCGGGATCCTCTTCTTGGACTTCCGCCTGGTCGACCTCTCCTCCCAAACTTTCCTACTCAGATTCCTCTTCTTCTTCTTCTTCGCTCACCGTCCCCAACTCTTGCTCGCTATACTCGCTATAACTTTCCTCCTCTTTAGGGGTTTCTTCCTCCTCGTTCTCCTCCTCTGTCTCTACCGCCTCCTCCTCCGACACCGTTCGGGGTTGAAAGAAAAGAGCATCGATTATCCCCCGGGGATTCAGATACTCCGCACGCGATGGGTAGCTACCGCCTCCCCCGCGATCCTCCAGGCAGGCCGACCATTGCAAGTACGGCGTTAAACTCCACGAAAGAACGTGCGGCGCCGGATTCTCGTCGCAAATTGAATGCGAGACGATGTCGGTTGGAAGATCGTCGAGCAGCTGTGTGAAGGGGAGCAAGAGCTCCCACACGATCGTCTGCCGATGTCCTGGGTCTACTATTTCGAAGACGAAATGAAGAAGGTCTCCCTCTGCCTCTGACCTCCAGGCTGAGATGATAAGCAGCTCCACATTCTCATTCACGGCACGGTGCTCACTGTCCCAAGTCCACGTCAGCTCGATCTCGACTAGGCACAAAGAAAGGGTGGAGTAATTCTCACACCATATCTCCCACTACAATGGCTTGATGAGCAGAACTGTAAGCGGCCGCACGCAGAAGGAGAGGCGGGGATGGAGGGCTGACTGCCAGAAAGTGGGGAAGAAAGAGGGGAGGCTGAAGGTAGAGAATTGAGAACGGTTCATTGAGGGCACGAGAAAGGGACGAGCGCAGGGAGAGCAATTGCCGGCTCGTGCCGAAGAGTGCGGATGTTGCCAACGTCAACACTGTTAATATTGACGACGTTCTCTCCTCGTCGCGCAAGCAACGGGCTCCAAGCCTACGCCAATTCCTCGCCCCACTCTCTCAACGAGGTAAGGATGGCCGTATGTGCTCTGGGATCCACCGTACTAAGATCCCCGCTGAAGAAGACAACTGTCAAAATATGGCTGATTCCTGGTGCCGAGAGTCGTCGATAAGCCGATGCTTCGGCCAGCACCTGCACCCGACTGTTGGGGACCACAAAGCGAAACTCCGCTGCCGCGTGCACACCTGCAGTGCTGAAGAACTGCGCGAATCTGAGAACGTCCGGGATGATACGCGGATGATGGACTTGCCGGATCGTCGAGATGTTCCCTCGTGGCGCCAGCATACGTTCACTGAGAACCTGCTCCATGGAAAAACTCATGGCGACGAGGAGGGAGAAGATGAGTGGGGAGAAGAAGGAGAATAGGGATTGTCACTCTCCCACTCGGATTCCGAGATCGACCCGGTTGGGGAAGGGGGAGAAGAAGCTGAGAGATGGCGGAGGTAGGTCACGTGGCTAACGATCGGGCGAGTCGATCGGCTGCCTGAGACTTAAGGCATCAGTCGCACCGTGTTCACCCCGTTCGGACCAAGCTCGACCACACGAAATCGCCCGAAGAATCGTGGCGCTAGCTTGCCTTGGCGAGCACATTTCCTCACCTGCACCATGTCCCCTAATTTGTACTGGGGTCATGGTCCCGCGTTCCTGTTTCGGGCCTCGTAGCTACTGATTTGTCGTCCATGGGGCAATTCAGTCATCCGCTGTAGTTTCCGGGCCAACCTAGGGAGGGACCGTACAATTAATTTCAAGTGTCGCTTGGCCTTGTCCCGGGCCGTGGCCCTCGTGGGCCGTCGACCCAAGGCAGATTCATCGTTAAGGCTCGGCATCGAGACACACGTCAAGCTATTGGTGCGGAGTTGAAAGGGGCTCAGGCCTGTGGACTCGTGGGGCGTTCCTCGATGGACCGCCAGAATGTGGTCCACAATATCGGGCCAAGGCCTCGTGTCCCTGACCGTGATATTGCGTCGAAGGGCGGTCTTAATCACTCGATTCGCGTTTTCTACCAGCCCGTTCGATTGCGACATATGAGGTGTAGTGTTACGAATGGCGACCCCATGTATGACCAGATTCCTCAAAACTTCCCCCCTAAACTCTGCCCCGTTATCCGTCAGAATTTCCTCGGTGTCTTGATACATCCCGAGGAAACGGTTGACGTATCGCGCGATTTTAGCCGCCTGTCGCGTTCGGAATGGATACGCCTCGATCCATTTCGAAAAATGATCCACGAATACCAATAAAATTGAATATTCGCAGCTATTCGGTCCAGGGGGCACCATTATGTCGGTCGTGTCCATACTAACTCTTTGAAAAGGTCGTTTGACTACTGTGGGCACTATCGATCTTGGCGGCTAAATCGGCGCCTTGTCAGCGACACAGACCTAACAGTTTCGGACGATGAACTTGACATCGTCACGAATATTGGACCAATACCATTCGTTTTTGTCAATCACCATTTCGGTAATCCGGACGGTGAAGTGAGCTGCGGTATATTCGTGGGCTAACTTAACCCAGTCATACCTCATGAACGGTTGCGATACAGTCATCCAAATCCCACTACCGTCCATCTTTCGTTTTTCCAACCGTCCCTCGTTCCATCGATAATCCCGAGCCCTTTCATTGGCCCTCCTCCGGTCCTCCCTAGTGAAGTCTCGGAGGGGGTTTCCCACTACGGTCCCTATCAGAGCGACATCGGTCCATACCTCAGCCCTTATAAACCTTTGGGTCTTTTCTAATCCTTCTGACGTGGCGTCGAGGAATCGAGCCTCGGTCGAGATTTTATCGGTATGGGGCACAGCCAAGGCTTATTGCCACTTCGGTATTGGATACAAGAGCCATGGGCTCTTGACACACACTGCCGACAATCTACCCATTCGAAATACCCATCCCCACTAGGATGCATAGGGACCGAGTAGACCCGCGAGATCGCTTCACAAAAATAACAAAATTTGTCGGGTAAAGAAAGAAAAGACGAGAACGAGAGGGGAGAGAGAGGAGCGTTGGAGTTACCTCCGTCACCCATCGCCACGTGTTTATTCCACGGTGTGTGGGAGAACTGCCACTTGTCCGTACCGGGGTCAGCTGGTCGGTTCCGGGTCTTTCCACGGGATGATCTCTTCGCCCTTGGCGACCTTTGTTGGACGATTCGCGTCAACCCGTCCGCGTTTCTGTGCCTCTCTGTCTTCTGATGGATGATGTTGAAACCGCACTCCTGTAGCCGCACCGCCCACCATCCAGTCATGCCCGTGTAATTTGTGATCCGTAACAAGGAGAAACTTTTGTCCGTACAGATACGGATGGAAGTGCTGGATTCCCCAAACCACCGCGTACCACTCTCCTTGCGGGGCCGAATCGTTCCTTCGTTCATCTGGTACAGTACGGGAGGCATACTCGATGACGTGCTCGCGTCCGTCTTTCCCTTTCTGTGCTAGAATAGCGGAGATTGCCTCGGGCTGCTAATCCGTGATAAGGATGAACTGCTTCGTTGGGTCCGGCCGGATCAAAATAGGTATTGTGGCCAGGGCCTCCTTGAGAGTGACAAAGCCCCGTTCGCATTCTGTGTCCCACTTGAGGGGCTGGTCCTTCCGTAGCAGGTTCGTTAAAGGTCGTGCGGTAGTGGCGAATCCCTTGATAAATCGCCAATAATACAAAGCCAGTCTGAGGAAGGCTCGAACCTGTGTCAGCGTCATGGGAGCCGAAGCGTCTCGGACAACCTCGACCTTTCTCGAATCGGGCCGCAAACCACCCCAAGTCACCACGTAGCCCAGGAAAGAAATCTCTGGGAGAAAGAACTCGCTTTTCTCGAACGCGATCTTGAATCCGGCGTCCCTCAGGGCTCCCAGCGTCCACTCGATGTGCTGCGCGTGCCCGTGGTAGGATTCCGAATAGACCAGGATGTTGTCCATGTACACAATGACACAGAAATTGATCATCCCCTGCGTCAGTCGAGTCTTGTTGACAAAATTTTGAAACGTCACATTCATCGCTCGCTGGAACATGGCCGACGCATTGCAAATCTCCATCGGGCATCAAACCCACTGCCACATGCCTTCAAACAGAACAAAGACCATCTTAGGTCGATCCTCCTCCTTAACCAGAATATGATGAAACCCGTGGCGAATATCGAACTTACTGAAGTAATTAGCACACCCAATCGCATCCAACAAATCATTAATCCGGGGAAGGGGGTATACATCTTTAATCGTGATATCATTCAGCTTGCGATAATCGATGCAAATGCGGACCGACCCATTCTTCTTTGGTAGTAGGACTACGGGGAACGACCACGGTCTTGTGGCCGGCTCAATCCATCCGTTAGCCTCGAACTCTCTAATCCTCTGTAAGGTCGTTTTCCGTTCAGCGAGGGAATATCGATACGGTTTGCAGTGGATTGGGGGGTGATTTCCAGTCTGGATCTCGTGTTGGATGATCAGTGACAGTCCGATGTGTGTGTCTGTTACGCTAACCGCTCCCTGATATTCCCTTAGGATTTCTGTAATCAGGCGGTGTGTGTCGTCGGGTACGTATTGTGGCACGTGCAACTCGTAAGGTTGTCCGTGGATAACGACCGTCATGTGTTTCGTGCGCATCATCTTCACGTCCCGTGGTGGCGGAGAGGAGATAAAAGAGTTGTCCAACCGCCACGAGAACACGGTGGCGACCATCTTAGCTTCCTCCTTTCGGATGACCATGTGTTCTTCAGGGGTTATCCCGTCCTCAACATCCCGAGAATCTATCGGCCTTTCGGCGATTCGTATTCCCATCTCGAACAACGAGGCTTCGGGGTACCCAGGGGGTTCCAAAACCTGTGTCTCCGCTCCTAGGCGCAGTAATCTCACTTCTTTTTCCATGGTGAGAAGCAATCGGGGAGGTATGTCCGAACATCACAAAACGATCGTTTGTCTAAGTATCGTGGTAGTAATGGGGCAGCTCCCTCGTATAGGGTCCGAGGGGGTTCCAAAGAATCGGGCATACGTGACACCTGTACTAACGGTTCTCCCAGGATAAGGGCCCGAGTTCGTCGGGCTGCCTCGTTGCTAAATACGAACGTCTTCGTTGTTTTCTATCGAACCAGGTAACACGACGGATAATCCGTTACCCGGTTCAACAGAAAACAACGAAGACGTTCGTATTTAGCAACGAGGCAGCCCGACCGGCCCCGACGAACTCGGGCCCTTATCGTGGGAGAACCGTTAGTACAGGTGTCACGGATGCCCGATTCTTTGGAACCCCCTCGGACCCTATACGAGGGAGCTGCCCCACTGCTACCACGATACTTAGACAAACGATCGTTTTGTGATCTTACGGACATACCTTCCCCTGGAACTAGCAACCACAACTTCCTCAGCAACACACCCAGTAACCATAACAGACCCAAACACGGACCCCCACATCCCCCGCCACTATGACACCACATACCACAACCCATCCTACGTTCCACAACCCCTCCTTGCCCCCCATATTCTATCCACGTCCATAGTACACACCCTTGTTGTGCAGGCTTCTTCTCAGGTGGCCCTCCACAAACCCACGAACGTCATTAGGGAGCAGAGCGATCCAGCAGGCATTGGTGGCACAGCAGCAGACGCACTCATGAGAGATGCAAGACAGTCCCGCCGTACACCGATGAAGCAACGCCACATAAATGAAGATGGAGACGGACGGGC